AAATGTTCCCATTGTAAACGGGATATACTGCAATGAATTAGTCCCTTGGGTGAATTAGCTTTCCTTCTGAAGAAAATCCAAAGCATTATCTTTTTGTGTTACATTGAGATGAATTACCACCTCTGTCTGCAAATGAAATTTGTTTTGAAGTTAAGTCATTTTAAGTAGATTGAAGTATAAATATGTTTACTTTATTTTTGTTGAAATACCCTACACAATGAGTTCTGATTTCATTGAATTCTTAAAACAAGAAATAGATATATTTTTTATAGAAGATATATTTTTTTTTTATTTTTAGTAATTTATTTATTTGTTTACTTGCTTTATGTAAATTCAAGAAAATTATTGATTTTTAAGGTAGTAGGTTAAAAACCTCATTCTATCATTACTGAAAAAGTTCTTATTATAAATGAAGAAAAAAGTGATGAGAGAGAAGTACAATGAATCCCCTGGGATTAACTAGGGCCCCGCTCGGCAGGCGCCCTATAGTGATCAGTCTGTCCGTCCGGCTGTCCGTCCGGCTGACCAACTGTCAGTCCGTCCGAGAATTCTTGTCCGGAGCATGTCCAGAAAATTCTCCTCCAAGCTGCACTGTGTAAATAGTATTACAGACAAAATCGTTTGTTTCTGATGAAAAATTTGATTATAAATTTTGATGACAATTTATATTATAACTTTTGTAATGTATATATAAAAATCGTTTTTATTCTTCCAGATATTGGACTTCGAATGACACGCATGATATTGAGATTAGATATCGGTAGAAAAAAATTAAATGATTTTCATTTGAATTAACTATGTGTCTAGAAATTTATATTTTAGTAAAATTATTCATCCACGTCACAAAATCAAAATTATGAATTTTATTTTAAATGAATAATTTAATTTCGTGTGTTCACGTAACAAAGGAAGACGAAATGGCGTCTAGCGGCATTCGTGTCACATACACTGTATACATAGTACAGTATAAAATTTAATCGGAGCTGTATTTATGTTCATGGTTTTAACATGTACAGTACTAGTGTACGATCCAAGCATTACAATTTATATACCTTATTGAAATACATTTATTTTGTTCATCTTGAATTATTCTGAATGTTAATGCGAAAATCGTCAGCAGAAACACGAAATTAATGCAATAATTTCAAAGCGTATTTCTCGTAACAGCAAACATTATTTTCATAGAGTAGTAATCTCTACGTTATGTTTTTAAAATCTTTTCAGTGTAAGTACTTATTTTAATTCGTTGTCTTTTCTTGTAAAGTGTATAAAAAGCTATACCAGAGAGAGAGAGAGAGAGAGAGAGAGAGATTCATACAACTCCCTTTTAATATATAGTCTGTAATTTTTTTTAATTCTTCATTTTATTTAAGTTACTGAGGTCACAATTCATTATTCTATAATTCTATTTAATTGCCACAACTTTTGTTTATATTCATTTATGTTCATATCCATTTAATGCAATTAATTTGTTCTCTGTATATGCTGTATGCACAAAATTCTCGTTCATCACCTGCCAATCAAAATCCCATGAAGCTATGTGACCTTGAAAGTCTGTTTACTTGGAAAGAATTTCTCTTGTGATTTGAAACTATCTTATGGTCAGTTCCGAGTTCACACCTGTAAAAAAAAATATATTGGGTCTCTGCCGGTGGGCCAGGGGCGTCGTATGTTTATCACACCTTTCAAATTCTTTAGCTCTGAACACAGCAAGTGTATACATGTAACACACTCAACTGATATGCGAAATTCATCTTCCAGGTTTTACTACAACATCAATTATAAACTTGCATGTATTTGTTAATTTATTTATCCTTTTTCAGACACAAATAAGAATGTATCCCGTAGATTAAGATTTAAAAAAAAAACATAACATAAATTTGCGAACTTCTGATAAAGTTTTAACTAGCTGATTTGTATCGCTTTTTTAGAAGGGGGGTAAAAATCGCTAAATATCTAGATATGTTTTCTCAAACCGTTTTTTTTTTCTTTTCACACAAAATATTTCAGAATGAAGTAATATTCGTACTGAAGTTAGCACATTTCATTTCCCAAAAATTTGGCTGTGATTTTTGTATTCAGCGTGTTTACTAAGTTTATCACTATTTTAATTAATGAAATTATTCAGATTATTATCTCTGCCTGTTCAGTGGATTTTCGAGTTTACAGCATTTAATATTTATCTCCATATTTTACATGATTACAGATTTTTAGTGTTAGTCTACCTGCAATAATCCTCATCTGAACCTGTCCAAGGATTCGCCGAGTATCGGTATCAAAGAGCAGAATTAATGTGCGAGTCTGATACCTTTTTTTTTAAATTTATCTACACATAGTAAATGTACATTTTAATTTCTTACATAATAATTAATTCACTTAGTATAATCATGCATCTGATATGTAATACGTAGGGGAAAACGATTTTGTATCAACGATTTAATTGAACGCAGTTAATTAAAATCAAAATCGAAAGTAGAGACAATCAAGTAATTCATTTATAAAAGTATGTTTCCTCTTAATGGTCTATTGAACTATATGTGAATAATATTATTAGTATTTAACTTGAAACTTGACTGTATATTTTTTTTTGCGGACACGAGTACGTTGTTATTAAGTTTTAAGGCATCTTATTAGTTTAATTATCTGTATGTGAGAAATTACCAATACTGAATTATGGAAAAAGTACAACAAATATTTCGAAAGAAAGTTGATTTAATTTTATTTAATAAAGGCAATGAGAATGTATAAAATACTTATCATCAGAACTGTGACACACCGTTGCACAGAAACGCTGACTTCAAAGACGCCGACAAGGTTTGTGGTCCACGCTAAAGCGTGGACTTGCGGTCCACGGGGCCCCGTGTTTTTTGAGGAAAACTCGTGGCCTGTACTGTAACTATAAGCCCTGCCGGAACCAAACTTGCATGGATGATGCATCTAGGGATGGACAATACCAGACTTGCTTCGGATGCTGGATCTTACCTATATTCTCCAAACAAGCAATTCAGCTGCATCACTATTCATTCAACTTCTGATCAAATTTTATACACATACAAATTTTCATGTTGCTTAACTAATACATCCTCGGCGGGGCATTCATGTCCTATGGACATATTTCTAGTTTTATTAAAACTTTTATTTGTGAAAATTGTTTCCTTTATAAAATGAATGATTAAGGGCAATAATGTCGTTAAAAGCAAGAAAAAGACTGGTATATGTCCAAAAAGTGTCTTATTTTATCAAGGAACCTGTATTGGCTACTTGAAGACAGATGTTAACCCCCCCCCCCCCTCTTAAATGTTTTTCGGAGAAAGTAAAGCCTACCAGTTAAGTTGTTGTTATAAGACTTCTTTGACATCTTCAACAATGCTTTCTTATAGTATACTACATATGCCTACCTAGTAATGTAGATGTAACTTACCATTGATCAGCAATGAATCTAGTGAACTATAGGCTCCTAGCCTTTCCTAGCACGTTTTGTAATGCAAACATGAAAAGAATTGATTTTCATGATCCCCATAGTCTTAAAAATTTTTAGTCAGTGGTTCGTTTGATGTAAAGCTCCAGCAATTGTTGCATGATGTTTTCAAAGACGCAGATAGCAAAAATTTTTAATTTTGAACACAATCTACTTTCTTTCGATGCATTTCAACATCAACGGTGCTACGTAATCAAGTTATGCATCATTAATTTGAATAAGCAATCATTCATGTAGTTTCACAGGGAAAGTCTTAAAGTTTTGCTAAAACGAAAGTCGTATGAGATAAATAGAACATCTATAATTGTGCGATTTGATATTGGCTTTATCCAACTCGTTGAATGATAAACTTTAAGCCTCTCGAATATATATACACCATTTCAACTTGTTGGATAAACAGGTCGAGACCACTAGATTTTCTGACGTCAGAATAAATTTGCATGTAAATTAGCTACCTGTTTACTTTACCTACTGCTGAATGAGCTGCAATGCATTGTGGGCTACTACAAGTACCTAGCTGTGTTGAAAATAAAAGGCAACTTGAATTGTCCCTTGGAAATCTATTTTCAATTTCTTTTGAGATTTATGAAAGAAATATTGTAAAATTATGTACAATCTTTCATTTCTGTGCTCACATTTACAGAATTTGCTTTATGAAGCCTTATATCAACTTATAATACATCTACCTAAACCATTGTTCAAAGACTCAGAGGTGCAGGGCTATCATGTAGTTTATAGGTCCTTGGTTTTAGACAGCAGGAGAGGTGTGCGATTATTATTTAGCCCCTGAATATTATCAGAAAGTGTTTTATGTACATGCAAATGTCAAAGCGTTTGTACGGTATTCGAAGCAACTTATTAATCATTTAAAACAACTCCAGTGTTAAATGTGAGCATGGAGCAATGTTTTTAGAATATAATCTTTCAATTTCGGTCTTATAAAGTGGTAAAGAAGCTCTACAGTTTTTCCGGTGATGAGTTATATTGTGTAGTGAACCGACAAAAAACCATGTGTAGCCATTGAATCGTAAACACGTAGTAGACTGTCATGCTTTGGGACTCATTCACTTGATTGGAGAACGGGTGTGACGAAGACATTGTCACGTGTTGAAAATTGCCTTCCATATAAGGTAGTGGTCTCGACCTGATAAAGCCAATATCAAATCACACAATATAGATATCCTCTATAGATTCATCTTTCCATGCATTTGTGAACCTCTAAAGTCAACAATAATGCATTATTTTACAAATCATTGCAGAATTTATTAAAATACATGTAAGTAAGCTTCAGAGGTAAATACTGATAAAAGAAACCCAACAATCATGTCATACATTTACTACATAGATATTGATTAAGCACCGAGAATGGTTTATTTGATATTTATTTGTGAAAACATCTATATTTATTGTACTGATTCAAATAGGTGTAAACAATATGAGCATCAAAAAATTATTCAATGTCTTTAATAAATACTGTTTATTATAAAAAGTTGCACTATTTGAAGAGAAAACAATATTTCAGAAAACAAGGCAAGAAGGGATGGTGCATTGTGAGTCCATAGCCAGTGACCCTGATTCATCAAGAGGTGATGCTTTGAGTGATAGTGAAGAGGAAGAAGAAATAGATGTAAAACACCTGCACAGAAAACGCAAAAGTAAGTTAAATGTTTTCCTGATTAAGATATTTATTCAGTCAGACCAATAATTACTTTGCATGCAGAAGGTCAATTGCGCTTCTACATAACTTAATTACTATTTCATTGAAAAATGAAATGATTCCTTAATCCAGATTTTAATTAGTTTCATGCATGTACATGCATGTTAACTTTATACCACGCTAAACAATTATCTACTGAATAAAAATTAAAATGATCATGAAATTTTAGCTAACTAATTTCCTGATAATTATTTTTAATGATATATACTTAAACAAATTAGGATCTGTGTGTTTTCCATAAAACTGTGTCCTTACAACAATACAAACTGATTGTAAGTATAGGCACTGATACCACTAATTACATAATCAAAGACAAAATTTATTCTAATAGCTACACTCTTCATACTTTTAAAGGGGCCTGTGGACACAATTTCAGCCAAAAATGTTCATGCTATTTTGTATGTTTAAAAATAATAAGTAAGGTAAATATATTTCCAATGATCAGCAATTTTTTGAATTTCAGTTGTCGAGTTACAAGACTGATTAAAAGCTCCAAACCTTTGTTATGTAAACCGGGCCCAAGCCTTATTGTTAGGTCACCTGAGTAACTCAGGTGACCTATTGCTATCTCTTTTTGTCCTTCGTCGTCTGTCGTGCGTCGTCCATCATGTGTCGTGTATTAACATTTGAACATTTTCAGCTTCTTCTCTGAAACTACTGAACCAATTTCAACCAAATTTGGTTTACAGCATCTTTGGTGAAGAGGAACAAAAATTGTGAATTTCATGGTCCTCGCCCCCCTGGGGCCTGAGGGGTGGGGCCAAAACCACAAAAATTATTGCAATCTTTAAAAATCTTCCTCAGCTCTTTACACCTGGATATCAAGCAGGCAAATTGTTGGCATGAATGTAATGAGCGTTGTCTTCTCTACCAAAATTGTGAAATTCATGGCCACGGTGTCAGGGGCTCTAGTTAGTGTTGGCAACAAGTACCCGGTTAACCGTCGAACGATTTGAGTATCGGTTAGTAAAACTGCTATTCGGTTACTGGGATAAAAATACGTTTTTCATAGTAAATACGTATAAAATGATTTTTATTCTATTTGTAAATGTATATTGACACATTTCCCTAATTTAATTACCGTTAATTACCGTAAGGCTCCCTCCACTGGTTCACCATTGGGATCGATTTGTTTTGATAAGTTTTCACAGCGTATTGTAACGAAATTAATATAAGATTAATATAATATTTATCTGCCGTGCCTTAAATATTTGTAATAGACCCGGTATAAATAACTCTACAGCTTTTCGTTATAATAATACGTGGGCTCTGTACCTTTAGACAGTCAACAAAACAAGAGAAAGTCTGTGTATAAAAGAAACATGTAATAATTTATTGTATAAAAGTACATAAAACAAACGCGATCTTTGGAACCTCCAGGATACTTTGGGAAGGTGTAAAAATGGAAGGTGCACCACTCTGGAAGCGAAGGTGCAACGATATGGAAATGAAGGGGCGGTAGCAGACGTTGCTAATGTAAACAAATATATGTCAGGAGTATATAAGGGAAACTCTGGTAACTGGAGAAGGTGCACACTATTACAATTAAATAGTCACCTTCTGTAATTTGGATGGGTTATTAAATAACACCTTCTGGGCCATTCTAAGGCTCCGTAATCACAATCTATATCCGACAAATGTAAATCCCAAACTGGTACCTTCAACGGGCCTCTCTGTTTATAAACACAGAAGAGTCACGTCATTATCCAATCAGCGAGCGTCTAACAACCAAGGTAGCACGTGCGAAACTTCAAGCCGAAGTAATGAAAAACAGAGGGGGAAATCGAAGCACATTAGGGCTGTAAACATGGATTATGGATAAAATATCGCTTATGGTGGATGGTAAAACATGAAATAAACACAGGTAAGCACTACTGTGCGTAATGACACATATTTTAATGCCACAAGGGTCGAGAACAACATCCCGAACGAATGTAAACAACACATTAAGTCCTTGTGAAACGGCATGTTTCTACTTTCGCTTTCAATCAAAGCTAATAGATTATCAATAAACTGGCATAAACACATAAAATCACTTGAAATAACATATCTACACTCCGTAGTAATGTGTAAATATCCATGCTAAGGTAAAATAATAATCATAAGTAATAACTATGGTTGGCACAAGGTACAGGCCCACCTAAATTCATAACAGTATATAATTAATGGCTTTGATTACCAGGTGGACACATGTTTTGAAGACCTGAGTTATAATTACCTAATTTAGACCTGTGATAGTCAGAGGAACACACCTTCACAAGATGCCGCCGCAAACATTCAAAGCGTGGATATATTTTAAAAGAAAGTCTGAATCAAAATCTGACAAATGCAAATTATATGAATCGGAGTTGTCATATACAGGTGGAACTACAAATATGCTTAATCACCTTAGATTGAAACAAAGTTCGGAAACCAGTGACTTGCAAGAAACTCCACAAAAACAATCAGCAATAATTACAGGATATATTAATTCTCCTTGATCGCAACACGTATCTCCTTCATGTGTTGATTGTTTTTTTTTTCTTAAATGAAAACAAACGGACCGTTTCACGTGACATTTAAAATCAATATTCTTCTAAAATGTTGTGTGTTTTAAAGTTTGTATTTGTATACAATTAAAATTCATATACGTTGCATTTGAGGTTTATTTTTACCAATAAGTGAAAGGATGAGGTTAATAATAGATACGGAAACTATAGCAAAAAATCATCCGAGTAACCGGGTACTCGATCGGAAGATTAAGCTAGTAACCGGTTACTTAAAATTGTCCGATTTGCCAACAGTAGTTCTAGTGCTAGGGCGGGGCTATATAGATTATATAGTGAAAATGCATAATTTCTTTGAAAAACGTCTTCTTAGCTCCTTGGTATTAAATAGACTAAGTACATAGTTAAGATGAGCCAGAGTCTCTTTTACAGATTTGTGAATTTTATGGCCTCAGGTTCAGGGGTTCTGGTGTTAGGGTGGGGCTCTATTGATTATATAGTGAAAATGCATTTATTCTTTGAAAATCTTCTTCTCTGCTTCTGGGTATTAAATAAACTAACTAAACACATATTTATGATAAGCAAGAGTGCCTCTTCCAAAATTGTGAATTTTGTGGCCCAAGGGTCAGGGGGTCTGGTGTTAGGACGGGGCTCTATTGATTATATACTGAAAGGATTAAGAAACGCATATTAAACTTTTGAGTTAAATTAAAACAATTATTTCAAATATGTTTTTCAGCATTTTTATCATACATTTTAATTTATCTTTAATCAACAAGTTACCAAACTTTTTTGCGATTTTGAGGGATAGTTCCTGAGACACTGATATCAATATGGTGACACCCCCCCAAAATAAAACTAAAAATTCTCATAATCTCCCTTTCGCATCAGTAACAAACTTGATTTTCCTGTGCATTGAGTTCACCAGAGCATTTATTTTTTTATAGCATTATTAGTCAATCCTTCCGACGGTAGTCTTAATAGCTGAGATTAGCTGTATTATTCCAAAGTCAACAAATCCCCCCGCTCAATCGAATCCCACGAATTTTCGATTTAGGATAGAATATACAGAACCCAGCAGATTTGGTACTCGTGAATGTTTGTAAAAAAGTATTGACAAATATTAGCTTCATTTTTCCAGAGTAAACATGCTAAAAAACATTACGCAAACGACGCGTACGTGTGCGTTTGAGAGTAAAATTGACGTAAGCTGGCCAAGTTCGCGGCCCAAATTAGAGCGGAGAGTTTCTGTCAGTTTAGGGTGAAAAAAGTGAGTATGTTTGTCTGCTGTATAAATATCAGTTTCGGTGATAATGCCTTGACAATAACCGAGGTGGCGTGATGAAAAGCCCTATCTTGTTGTGACGCTGATACGCGCCAACGTCACCGTCATGGTTGGTTGGAAACATTTTAAGTTCACTCCCTGACAACCAAAAAACACTTTTATTTGGTTGAAAAGTTGAAAACAATCTGTACATCAGCATGTTTTTGCCTTTTTATTCACTTATGCAATATTGAATTCAATTACTAAACCCACAGTAGATTCCGCCAGCCATACCACGATAGCAAGAAATTTATACTGACTGCAAATATGCAAAAACGATGTCTATTATTCTAATGCATAGTATGGTACTACAAAATTTTATTACAAAATTATCATCATTAACATGCACGTGTTTTTGACTATTTATCATTTCCCCTACGTGATGCCATACATTTCATGGTTGAGTAGTTTTGACAAGTGATTTTAGTGCAAAGTAACCAAAATAAACAACTGTCCAATTTTCATAATTTTCGGTCACATAGTCAGAAAATTTTCCCATATCATGTTCTTGTGCGTTTCTTTTTCCTTTCAGTATATAATGAAAATGCATTAATTCTTTGAAATTCTTCTTCTCTGCTTCTGGGTATTAAAAATAACTTACTAAGCACATCGTTATGATGAGCAAGAGTGCCTCTTCCAAAATTGTGAATTTTATGGCCCTAGGGTCAGGGTTTCTGGTGTTAGGGCGGGGCTCTATTGATTATATAGTGAAAATGCATTTATTCTTTGAAAATCTTCTTCTCTGCTTCTGGGTACTAAAAAAACCTACTAAGCACATCGTTATGATGAGCAAGAGTGCCTCTTCCAAAATTGTGAATTTTATGGCCCCAGGGTCAGGGGTTCTGGTGTTAGGGCGGGGCTCTATTGATTATATAATGAAAATGCATTAATTCTTTGAAAATCCTCTTCTCTGCTTCGGGTATTAAATAAACTAACTAAGCACATTGTTATGATGAGCAAGAGTGCCTCTTCCAAAATTGTGAATTTTATGGCCCGAGGATTTGGGAGGGGCTCTGTTGATTATACAGTAAAAATACATTAATTCTTTGAAAATATTTTCCTTTGCTTCATGGTTTTATGCCAATGATCCAAGTATATATATTTATGATGAAGAACGGTGCATCTAGCAAAGTGGTATTTTTATCCCCCCTGGGTCGAGGGGGGGGGGGTACATAGTCTGAAAATAAATTAATGCTTTGAAATCTGCTCTTTGCTATTAATCAACCATTTGATGATAACATTTGCAAAATTTTGAAATATGTGACCAATGGTTCAGTGGTTCCTTTGGAGTGAGGTGCACAACTTGGTATAAAGTGGAAGTGCATTTTCTCTTTGTTACTCTGATCTACCTCTGGGTATTAAGTAAATAGAGAAAGCATGCTAAGTTAATAATTATGATAAGGAATGCTGCCTCTTTCAAAATTGTGAATTGTGAATTTCATGGCCTCTTGTTTAAAACACGAACCAAATTTAATTGTTTGAAAGTTGTTACAGAATACTCAGGTGACCTATAAGGCCCGTGGGCCTCTTGTTTTTGTTTACCAGTACATAGGTAAAACATGCTGATATGTGTTTGTCAAAGCAGATATTTTCAATAAAGAAGTTAATTTTAAACACAATTAGACATATTCTAATGATTTGCTGAATCTTGTTTTGTTATAAACATACATATT